GCACATGCAGAACATATTTTATTTTTCATAATAATTATTGTAACTCAGTCAAGTTAACCCCATAGTTAAAATATTATATCTTGCCTAATAAATGCGTATTTTTATTTTATTTTTCTGGGAGTCTATCTCTTTTTTTTCAAACTTCGTAATAATATATTCACATTTTTCCGTCAGTCGTTATCGATAAAATATGTGTAAATGTGTAATTACCATGGCCTTAGTTGCCTGCAAGATCAATAAAAGAAAAAAAAAACAAAATAATTGTTGTGATATGATAACCTAATATTATATATTTTAATATCATGCATATTGTGGAAAAATATGATCAAGTATCACGATTTAAGAATGCATCGAAAGATACCATTGCCCATTATTGGCATACAATTGCTGAATTGCGTAAGTTACATTTCTTTAAACCATAATTTGGACCATAAACTATATTGTTTTCAAATACTGTTATAATTTATAGCATACGATTAACTATAACTGACAAATAAAAACCATTCATAAACCATATACGTTATTATCTTTTAAGATTTAAAACCACTACGTATTATTATTATTATTTACTTTTAATCATTTTTATTACTCCAATAAAATGTATGATAGACAAAAATATCATCATTCATTTATTTTCTATGGAAAACTATCAAACAATATTATATTCAATATTAATTGTATGCTATTTTGATTCTACGAAACGAACAATTTTTATTTTTATTTAGATAATACTTTTTTACGTATTGTGATTTTTTTCCAAAGAGTGAAACACCTAAAGGCTAATTTTTTACACGTGTTCGATCTGTAAATAATAATTACAATAATGGAAAATGACTCCTAATTATTGCCAAGAAGTCCCCTTCGACCCTTCCACACAATAGAGTTTATACGGCACAATATATATTGTAATTATGATTGGATTACGTAAAAGTTCTTATCGGTATTTTGGTTCTAGGAAAAAAAGGTCGTTATCAGCTCGCGGTCGACCCGTTGATTGAGAAATGCGTTGTAATAAACGCATCTAGCAGATGGTACCGATTTTACCAAAAAAAAAAAATATATATATATTTCAACGACGCGTATTGTCATTATAAAATGTGTCTCTTTATTATTGTAAAAATTCGATTTTACCATGCTACCAGATTCGAAAAAAATGGTGGTTGCCACTGGAAATGAATTCCTCTGTATCTATCGTAATAATAATAATTACGCTTGTTATAATCGACCGACAGACTAAGGACCAAAATTACTACCTATAATGACGGTATATTCTATACACGAACATACCTATGGTGTATGAGGTTTCCTCATTAATCCACAACACGACATTAAAGGTTACCGTCAAAATTCAATATTATTTATATTATTACCGTTTTATCATATTTTTTAGCCGTGGGACGAGTGTGAGATGACCTCGTCGTGTTTTCGCCACGGCCTGTGCGTGCTGAACACTATTTACGAATATTTTTTAGTCACTGTAGAAAACTCTTTGAACGGGTTGACCACTACCCGAGCAGAAGTGTGAACCGTTGTAGGTACGTTTAGTGTGGTGGCAACAGCGAAAAAAAAAATGTCGTAATAAATAATAATGTATTTCCAACATATTACCTTGTCATAAAAAATTCATGGTCGACGGAATTATCACACACATTCGCTGTATGGTGTATATCCACACATGTACGTAAATTCGTGTTTTATGTTTTATCCTAGTATAATGTTAAATAAAAGTATGTGAAAACCATATTTTTCAAGTAATTTTCGTTCGCGAAAAAGGTCGTATGGAAGTATTTCAAAATATTATAAGAAAACCATAAGAAAACTACATGATTCTTGATAATATTATGTATGTTTCTGTGTCTGAAATGTCTGTCTGGACTGTAGTTAAAAATGTTAAAATAAGATTGTAACTCTTGATTTAGAGTATTCGTTGTAACATGTAAATTTATAAATGAAAATATAACTATATAAATCGGCATAAATTAATTTAATAGCTGTAATATTATGTTATTATCATTTTGAAATGTAACAATATTTTTATATTTTTGAATCTTAAATGTTTATAAAAACTGTATGAAAACAATAGATGCGGGACAAGATGCAAATTTCAAATTAGTTAGTTATAATTTATAAAATACTGACTATAACGTATACATATAAGTTTGTGAATGTTTGTGTTGAATGTGTGCTCAGAATTGCTTAAATTTGTGAACAAACTATGCTTGTTAAAGTCGTGTATGGAAAATATATAGGTAGTAACTGTTGAGGGTTCTTTCCATGAAATACAATAATTTTAAGCAAGTTTTGTTTTGTTTTCTCATCTACTCGACTTCGTTGAAATGTTTACTTATGGAAGCCAGTCGATAAATTGTGTAAAATTAATTTTGTGTTCACACTGCTGTGCTTGAATAAATTTGATATTATGTTAAAAATGACAGTACAACCTTTGCTTAAAGTAATTCTACTTTAACCTTTTGTAAACATGTAATCTTTGTTTAGTTGAGCTCATAAAATATTTTATAATACTAAAAGCTTTCTATCGTAAAAAAAAAAATAGTTTGAAAAAATTGTAAAATCTTGTATCGTTGTTGTTCGTATAATGTTTACAAATTATTCAATTTAGAGCTAGTATAAGCTAATTTCATTTTAATTATTCACTCATTTAAATTGGGTTAATATTTTTCTTTTTTCACATTTTTAGATTTTATTACTATATCCTGCTATTACCTATACTTATAAGTTATAGTTGATAAAAAAAAAAATGTTTCTTTTCAACTATCCGTTCGATTTATCGATTTAATTGTGCAAAAAAAAAAAAATCATAATATACTGGTTCAGTTTCAGTATATTGTTAGAAATTATACTTTTGTTTTTGTTAAATGAAAATCTTTAATATAATATAAATAGATGAATATAGTTTGTACTTTGTACTATAACAATAGTTTACTGTAGGGACACCAACATGGTTACCTACAATATTTGTAGATACAAGTCTACACTTAAGTTGGGTGATGTGCAGTGTAAATCATTACCCACTACATAAAACACCAGCAAAGGTATTCGTAATTGTGATCAGTGGCATATTTAGGAGCATCAGGGGCGCATATGGCATTTGCCTTGGGCTCGAATTTTGAGTATTATAAAGGAGCGCTGGTGCTGAGGTCCAAAGTCTAGGTACCTAACCAATACGATGATTTTTTTTGTTTTTTATACATTATACGTCAATCATATTACAATTGGATATTATGTAAATTTTAAAATAAATGTTCCTGAAAACAAAATGAAATATTCAAAATGATTCACCAAGCATGTTTACAATTTTTTTTCCAATTATGGAGTTTTATATAAAATCTTATTTTTGGAATTTTTAAATACAATATTGTTAAATTCTTTAGATTTTTTCGTATTACCTACTGAAGGAATGTTCTGTGGAAATAAAAACATCTTTTTTTTTAATGTGAGAATTTTCTACTGTAAACTATTTATCAGATACTTTTTTTTGAAAATGTTGAAGAATCAAAATCAAAATTTGATCAAATAGTTTTGAGTTATTTATCTTTGTGTACTAAGGAAAATAGTTTCATGGTAATTAATGGGGTTGGAAAATGTGTGGACTATGATGATTTGAAAATGTTAGTGATTTATACTAATCTAGTAATCTATCAACATCAATAATTTGTAAAAATGGTCCAAGCATAATAAATTCTAGATCCAATACCTATTATATCTGTCTTATATTTTTGTAAAATCACTTTTAAAGACTATTATCCCGAGAATAAGCATTTTAATAACTGAGAAACTACTATTTTGAATTTTGAATTGGGTACATCAACATCAACGTTTTCAAAAAAAAATATCCACTGAATAATTTACATTAAAAAGGTGGGTTCTCATTTGAAAGTTTATATCATCACAGGACACTATTTAAGTAGTATACAAAAATTCAGGGATTAGAAAATAACAGTCTGAGTATATTTAAAAATGTTGAGTATCAGAATATGAATAATTTTTATTTCTTTCTTAATGAAAAAACTGAGGGTGAGCATGCTTTTGGTCTAAAAGCATCCTGTGTAAAGTTTCAAAAGTAAAATGTTGACTGCATACTAGTTGCGTATCAAAGGCGATTACACAAAAATGTCGAATCCGAATAATGGCCCGGATTTTTGTACGTTCTATTATATCCAAGTCACAACCCATGTTTATTTGCGTCTTTCTTAATTGTGGCTCGATCAATATTTTGCGTTTTAATGTGTTAATGTGTCTACCATATATTCGTACCTATAATATTATTGTTGCCGTTTAACAATAATAACATAATAAAAAGGTCGATAATCATATTAATAGGTTTATTACATATTATTATTACCTATTATATTAATGTTTTATTGTTCATAGACATTTCTATCAAGTATTAAAGTAAAATATTATATCATATTATTATCGTTGACTGTTCGATAGTGGCAGTTACAAATTAACAAATGCAAATCTATAAAAAAAATATTAAGCCCGTTACCAAAAAAAAAAAAATAAAAACAGTGAAAAACAGTGAAAAACATTTTTAAACTACCAGTAATAATAATCCCACAGACACTCTGTAAAATGAAGTCCTATAGTATTTAATATTTATTTTTATGTTTTGTATTTTTAATTAGTACCTAGGTATATGTAAGTACCAAAAAAAACAGTCAGTTGACAGTTCTCATATTTTTCTACTGTTTACTTTCACCGCTATACCATTTAGACAATTTTTTTTTTAATGTGCTTATAAATAATAATAATAAAAGTTAAATTTGTAAAAATTATATTGTTTAATTCAGGGGTCTTCAACCCGCGGCCCGCGGGCCGCTTGCGGCCCGCCCTGTCATAATATGCGGCCCGCAATCACATTTGAAATTAAGCATGTATATTTTCTATTTCGATAAAATTATAACGGCTAAGCCATCGCTATCGGAAATATGCGATAAGATAAATTTAATTATACCTACACAACTCACTTCCCATGTATGTCAAAATACAATGTTACTTCAACAGAAAAATATGCAGAAGCAATTTCTGATTTAAAACACCAGTTCAAGTTGAGGTTCTCAGATTTCAAAGCTAATGAAACATATTTTAATTTGTTTTCAATTCCATTTTCATTACCAGTTGAAGATGTCCCAGAAAACATGCAAATTGAGATCATTGATTTACAAAACAATAAAGTATTAAAAGAAAAGTACAATTATGTTGAACTTTCAATTTTTTATTCAAAATATATTAACACAGAGACATATCCTAATCTTCGAAACAACGCATTAAGAATGATGTCTCTTTTTGGCAGTATTTACACTTGTGAACATATATTTTAACGAATGAAAATTGTCAAATTGAAAAATAGAGTTCGGTTAACTGACAGTTACTTGGAAAGTTCACTTAGAATTGCCTCGTCGCAGATCCAACCAAATATAAACAACATGGGCGTTCTCACGGGGGGGGATATGGGGGATAGATCCCCCCCAAGGTTCTTTATTTTTTACATATTAGTAATACACGTTTTGTCTACTTTTGATATGTGTTTGTGTTTTCAATATTGACTTGGTAGTTATTATTTTATTTTTTTTTTTGCTATTTTTCTTTATCGTGATTAATGATTCCACCAGCCGTAAACAATATTATTATTTATCACTGATAATTATAACATATAACAGGCAATTCGCTTTACAATTGATTTGTACTATATTTTTGTAAAGAATCACTCCGTCACCAGCGTTAGAAAAAATGTAAAGGTAAGATACACAATAATAACACCACAGTGATAAAATAAAATAAATAATTTAAACTAGGGATGGAAAACGTTTTTAAAAAACGTTAGTAAACGGAAAAAAAACGAAAACAATTAATAAAACAAAAACAAAAAACGATAATAAAAAATCCCAAAAACAGAAAAAAATTAATTACGAAATCAAAAACGAAAACGCAAATAAATTATAGTATTATACATTATTATATTTATAACACGAAAAAAAAACGTTACTAAAGTATTTACTTTTTAATCTTTACCAACAATGCTCTATTAAAATTTAAAAACATTTTTATTTGAAATCAAGAATAATTAATTTTAATTTTTACTCTTATGTGCATTTCTAAATTGCTAAATTTACTACTATAAAAAAAAAAACAATATTATCAAAAACAATATAGAAAAATAACGTTTTTAAAAATGTTAATCAAAAACGGTAAACAAAAACAGTATTTTTTAAATCAATAAACAAAAACGAAAAAATTTAAAACATTTTCCATCCCTGATTTAAACTGATTCATAATATTCTTTTATAGTTGAAATAAAAAGAACAATAAATATGACTTGAATTGATTATTTGATATTATCAACTATATTACTATCAATATTATTAGATTCTGAGCGGAGTGAGGGATCTATTGGTTTTTCAATATTGTTTATATTTATTTTTACTTTATCCTGCATACAAAATTTCTACCAGAAGGAGTTCTTCGCTTTTAACATAATATACCTAGTATATCTATTATTTTAGCAAATTTTATGAAGATGGTACTTTAGAGAGGTAATTTTTCAATTTTCTCAATATTTATTTAATGACACATTACAATTTCACCGACAAATTTCAAAAACCGCTAAAAATGTGATTTCAATTTCTAACTCTTTGTTTATCACCATAGAAACAAATAAAATAAAAATAATGATTTTAGTTATTTTATCGTAATTTATAATATTAATTCAACTTACAGGCTATAATAAAATATAATAATTAATAATAATATAAAATATCCAGACTGACAAACCGTCTCCGCTCAGAATCGTTTTTCGTATACAATTATATGATATCATTGAATTCAAATGTAATACAATCCATTATACAGTTACCAACTATTGTAATCTACTGTACAGCAGAGCGACATCCACTCACCCGCTTTTTTAATATTTATTATTATAGTATGGGAGTTGTGAGGCAAAACCCTTACGGCTTATTTTGAAACCATTTTTTTCATCCCCCTCCATTGAAATATCCTGAGAACGCCTCTGATAAACAAATTAGTTAGTGAAAAACAGTGTCAGTTATCACACTAAAAATAAAATAAAAATTTTGTAATTAACAAAAAATGTTTATCTATATATGTTTAATAATAATAATAATAATAATAATAATTTGTAATTTAAAATGTAATCTTGAAAATTTTAATAATAAAACTGAATTTTTGTATAAAATACATGTTTTTACTTTTTACTACGAATGCGGCCCGCAAGATTATTAAAAAATAATACGTGGCCCGCTGCATAAAAAGGTTGAAGACCCCTGGTTTAATTGGTAAACGGACGTTTCGCCCCCACCGTTTCGTCCCCGTCAAAAAAACCAATCCACGGACGTTACGTTTCGTCCCCGGCAATTATTGAGATAGGACTTTTCGTCCCGGAGAGTTTTTAGCCATAGGCATACTTTGATAATATAAATACATTAATTTTTAATGAACAGTTTCATCTTTAAACGACAATACTACAAAATATACAAATACTAATCAATATTCATACAATACAATTACAAATAGTCAAGATTTAAATAAATCTCAATTGTATTAAGTCAACACAAAATGTAGTAAAAATTAATAAATTAAAATTAAATACTATAATATTAAGATAAATTATAAATTATAAATTATAAATTATAATTATTTATTTTTTGGTCAACTGACTTATGTTTTTTAAATAGTATAAAATATAATTATCGTCATTATATTGAAATTCCGTACAATATTATGATTGCAATAAAATTTCTTTTCCTTAAAACTAACTATTTTCGGTACATTTATTATTTCATTTTGTTTTTGTACCAATGCAGTAGCTGCAGACGCATTGCACATCTGTATTGAATACTCTGCGTATCAAATACCTACTCTTAAAATAAAGTAGTTAAATAAATATATAATATTACATTGTTGTAATGTTAGAGCAAAACCACGACGGCATGGTATTTTTATTTAACAAAAATAATTATAAGTAGAAACAAATTAAGAATTAAAAGAATAAAAAAAAAGTATTCAATAAAATAGTATTCAATACGGAAAAAAGAATTTGAATACTTTTACTCGAATACTTTACAACACTGTATATGAGACATTACAGAATTGCTCATTAAAAATAAATGTAGTAAATGTTAGTAAAATAATGCACTTTGAAGTAATTAATAACCTGAGACCCGAATGTCCTATACCTAATGAAAATATGACGGGGACCAAACGTCCTATGGCTAACAACTCTCCGGGATTAAATGTCCTATCTCAATAATTGCCGGGGACGAAACATCCGTGGACTGGTTTTTTTGACAGGGACGAAACGTCGGGGGCGAAACGTCCGTGATTCTGTTTAATTACATAATACAGTTTTCGGTCGATAAAATACAATATACAATAATAATTGCACACATAATTACCTATTACAAAATTATTATAAATAATCACATTTATTATGTGATGTGGGATGTATATTAGGTAGGTTATTTTATATTATATCTTTGTTGTACACAAGGTAATAATCGATAACATAATAATAAAAAAATAATCATATAAAATAACATAAAAATAATAGTTCACTGTCTGGGCAACTCAGCTGTCAGTTCTGTTATTAATTATTAATACTATTATTCTTTGTGTTTAATTATAAGAAACTTTAATATTGTCTAAGTAATCAATCCAATCCATTTGTGGAGGATCACTTATTACTCTCTTCTTGAGAATGCAAATTCTTTGCTCGAGCTAAGTATTTGCTATAAATTCTTTTAATTTATTATCCTCAATATTAACTAGGTGAGAGCTGTGGTTGGGATTATAAAACGTCTTAGAATATACTGTAAATAAATTGGAAATTATGACTCAAGCTCCACAGTTCATTCCACGCATTTCCAATATAATTTTTTTTTATTGTTTTATCTATCCTGAAATAATAATTATTTAAAAAAAGATCAACTTTCTTTTTCGCTGTATAGAAATCTATTCAATCGATGTTATTATTATAAGCCTATTATTTTTATTTTTATTAGATCTTAAGGCCTGCAACTATTGCCATTAGCTGTTCGAGCTGTTTGCCATCCAGGAACTAGTGACACAAGCTGATGCTTGTACTCAGAACTCGTTTCGTGGATTATTATAAAAAATAACGTTAAAAATACAGCCCAAGAGGGGGGAGTCGATCGCCCTTTCAACCTCCTCCCACTCACCTCGTATCCGCCGCTGCTATCCATCACCTAGCACCTTATAAAATTATGTCTATGATCATGGTGTTATTTAAACATATTAAACATGTTGATAAAACAGGAGTGTTACATGTAGGAGGGCGGGGCACTTCAGTTCCTACAAAAAATGTGTTCTATTTGCGCCCATGGCAATGAGTATGCCCCCCTGCCAAAGACATTTTCATTGTGTAAAATTAGTCACACTCTCTTTCGTGGTATACACATTATGAACAAAAATGGTACGGATTGCCAAGTATTTTCGATCACATTTAAAATATAAACAAGTTGGCATCGTTGGGCGGTGGGCCCTAGAATTCAGCCCTGCACGCAGACACGCAGCTATAAGAAAATATGTTTAAGATTGTTGAAATGTTATTTAAAAGTCCATTAATAATATTATATAATTTGCGATAAGCATAAAACGGATTTTATCGTTTTTAGTACTCTCTGGTAACTCAAAACTCCTTTATACGTACACTGCGCAGTTACTATACACTAAAGTGAAATGGGTTATTCTGACTGAATCTATTCGCACACCGATATAATAGTAGGAGGTACATTAGAACAAATTATGGTTTTTGTCATTTGGAACGTGGAAGAACGTATGAATTTAAAATAATTTGAAATCGTTTATAGTCGTAATAAAAAAAAGGTTTCAGGACCAAGTTAATATTGCACTTACCAATGAATAAACGATGTAATACGTTATATGTAAATATAAAAAAAATAATTTTCTTTTCAGAAATTAATCACTTATTCATTTAATGTTTATTTGTTTATTAGGAGGCTTAACTGTTTCATATATTCATTAATAAGAACGCTGATAATTATTTTCCTGTAAAGTTTTATCGAAGAGTAATAGAACGTTTAAAATGTTCGATGTGTCTATACATCACAGGGGCACTGAGTTAATTTAGTTTGCAGTACATCTTGTATACTAGTGCATCAGAAAATATTTACAACTTAGGGTATTACTATACCTGAAGTAGTAAATTTCGATAAGACGGTGCGGCTCCGAATTTACATCCTATATGCTGCAGTGGAGCAACTAGGGTGGCTAGAGAGGCATAGCCCCACTGACTACGATTTAGCTACCCAAAAATATCCCT